CAACCGTTGTAATCTATTAATTGTGGAGGACCAGATAATAAAACTACACCAATCACAGTATCACAGTATCTATGCAAATAAATTCCCTAATATCAGCAGCTGAATATATTTACACACTTTTAAACAAGCTGTGTTTGTACAGGCATTGAAATCCTCTGATCTCTGACATCAGCAACGGATCACATGGAGTTTCTCAGCATTTAGAGCAAATTATCATTTCATTTTTGTATAACAGACCAGAAAGTCTTTCAGAATTCTGTTTTAGATGGCCTCAATGCATTACCAGGAAAAAATTATCAGTAGGTCAGTTTTTCTATTTGTTTTGCTACTCGTCTATAAATCTTTATTTAATTCAGAAGCACAGATTTTGGGAAAACTGGTAACAATAAAACATGTATTAAGATGAAAGCAGGCTGGAATTACTGAATGTCTTTAAAAACACTCAGTCATGTCAAGCTTAGTTGCCGATCGTTCCTTGTCTCTTTCCTTGCCAAGTTGTTATATCACCCACTACCTTTAAAAGTGTTTTCAGACCAACTTTTACCAACTTTTGAGTCCATTGGAAATTACGGGGATCAAACTTCTGCTCAGCATCTAAGACTGAACCTCAAAATGCAGCTTAAATGCTTCAGAATCAACATAGAAACCTGACTAAAGTTGCATGTTTTCCATTGCATTTAATGTTAACAGCTACCAGCTCCGTTCCTGTGCCTTCTGTTGCGTACGGTTTTAATAGGATTTATCCTCCACTTTTGAAAACAACATTCTGTGAAATCCTGAAATGTCAGTCCACCTTTCATCATCCAGCAGTATTTTAACAGTAAGCTTTTCTTAGCCAAACTAGCCCTTCACTGATCTCTGAGACTAATGAGTCAATAAAACAACTGATGCTCATTGGATATCTGTGTTTTAGATCCGTACTCCTTCTCGTTGTCCTCCTACTTATCCTCGGTTGCTTCTGAACAGTCCAACTACTACAAAGAGCACTATATAGGGGTTCCTTCTCCCCAGATGTCTCCTCAAGCTCCTCTGAGGCCAACCACAGACATGGTACCTCCAGGATTTACTGGGTCATCCTCTGGGTCTCATAATTGTGGAACACCCCCCAGAGAGGCGAAGATCAAATGCGCCTCTTGAAGTGAAGGAGAAGGCTCTACTCTGAGCCCTTTCAAAGTGACCAAGCACCTCGGCTTATTTCAAAGGCAGTGTTTTCCCATCCAAAAGAACATTTTTTTGGATGGGATCCTGGGTCAGATTTCAAAACCATATGAAAGAGTAAAAGGTCTTCCTCTTTTCAAGTGCCGCTTATTGACCAAAACCTTTCCTATTGATCGTCAAAGCATATGATGCTGTGTGTTGTCCAGGGCTAAATGCTAAAACCGCTTGGCACGGTCTCCAGTGGCAAACTGGATGAAGGATTCAGATGTCTGCATGGCAAAGACGACTATGAGGCCTCACTCTGTCCGGGGGGTGGAGGAACTGCAGGTTCACCCTGGAGACAGGCCTGAGGTCAGAGTTCATGGAAATCTGCTGCGGATTTCCATGGTGGCGGCCTCCAATTTTTTGATTATAAAAATAGAGAATAAAATATGCAAACTTTAAACATTTAAGCTACAAACATAAGCTCTGGTCAACTCAAACATGTCTGAAACAGCACTTCAATGATTTATATCTTTGTACAAATGGAATATTGATTTCAATTTAGCGCAAAGTGTTTTCTTTAAGTAATTGACCTAAAGGGGCTTTCAGACAGGATGCGCCATGCACAACACTGGACTCTAAAATCCATCACTTTCAATGGCATTTCAGAAGAAACCAAAGTGCTTTGTCAAGCAAACACAAGAGAAGTCCTGTGCATGCCGTGGTCAAAGTTCAAATATGTGCAACTTTGACCACGGAATGCAGCCAACAGAAAAAGGCAAGTGAAGGGAGCACCATATCCTGTCCGAATGAACCCCCCCCCATTCACACCATGATGATTTAGCCAGCGTATGCATGACATAAGGAATATCTGGCAAAAAACGCTGGCATATGTTGGCTAAGTTCATCCCCATCATAGGGGGATGATGGGGAGTGTGATGGATCCTCCCTGTGTTCACGCCCACAGCCATGACCAAAAAACTTCCTAGCAGACATGACGCTGAATCTGCTGTGACTGCAAACCTCCTTTGCGTTTCTTTTCTACCGCCCGCCCACGAACAACAGCTAGGTTAATACCACATTCAAAGACATCTTTTAATGCGGCCGGGTGGCTCCGGCCGCATCGCTGCACCCCTCAGGTCACTGGCTTGTGAAGCATTTCATGGGCATTACGCTGCCGTGCATTATGCATAAGTTAGGCTCTCGTTGGATATGAATACTCTAAAAAAATAAATAAATACATAGAAGTTCCGCTAAGCCAGCCTTTTAGGAGATTTAGGGACGTCAGGCATACACCTGCTAAATTGGCTAGATGTGACAGTGGTTCTTTATAGAGCTTATTTGCTGCTTTTTTTCCCCCCACAAAGATATTTTGCGGGATTTTCTTTTTCTGAGTGGATCATCAAAATAAGTGTTCCTCCTAATTGTCGATCATGCTGGTGATATGTGAGGCCGTCCTACGTGCTCCACCCCACATAGCCATCTTTTTCTGCGCATGCGCACCAACAGGTAAATGAAAAGGACAATCTTTTGTTTCCACGTGGATCATCTCAATAAGTGCTCCTTCTAACTGTCAGCTAATTAAGGTGAGCTACGGTATGAGACAGTCATGAAGCTCACCTTTCTCGCCGAGGTTCTTTGAAAATGGGCGAGGGTTATAAGAGAAAAAGTGCCTACGAAGTGTAACAGAAGAAAAAAAAGGCCTCAGATGAGTCAGATATATCCCAGAATGCTTTGCACGGAGAGCTCTCAGAGCAAAGCATTATGGGGTTTGCTGTCATTACCCGACAGCGGCGACTTATAACAAAGATGGCGCAGGCAACGCTCAGTGGAGGAGGAGTTACGTGACCAACGGGGATCAAAAAGCAGTGATCACCTGTCCGAACGGTCAGTTAACTGACTTCGCTATAAAGCCCACTATATATAGTGATTGAGGGATTTAGGGGTTATGGCGGATGTTTGGACACAATAAGCCTGTATGAGCTATGAGAACAGCAACTTTTAAACAGAGGTCGCATGAGAAGAAATGGGCTTGTACACGCTCTCTCATGCATTTAATAGGCGTTGCCTCTCCGAAGCGGGTACAGGATTGTGCATGTGGAGAGGGTTATAAGTGGAGAGGGCGGGTCTTTTAAAAGTATTGCGAAAATCCTCCAAATTACCCTTAAATGCAAAATATGTAGATATATTTATATAGTTTTGGCTCAATTTCAGGTCTTAGTTAGTTGTTTTTTTTAGCAGATGGCAGGCTTTAGACCATTTTCGATTGTTACATTTTTTGACAATTCTTTCATTAGTCGATGTGTCCAAATGAATCTGATGTTTCGGCCCTTAATTGATCTGCCTATCTTAGCTAAAAGGTGATGAAAGGAAAAGTTGCAAAAATCTTGGTGCAGCTCCACCTTCAAAAAGAGGAATGATATTACCGTTTTTGCTCATTCATCATTTCAAGATCTTTTTTTCGGCCTCATATTCACGGACATCAATCAGCTTTAGGTTTAACTCAGAGAAGATCACCACAAAGATGGACATTTCTGCTCTGGTCAGTTTAAAGATGGTCTGTTATTTGATGTCCCTCTGGAGGTTCCCTTATTCAGGCTCAGGGAGTCAATTTGAAAGCCTTGGCATAGTTTCTATACAGACCGAAAGTCGACGGCTTCACCACTAAACCATCATTTAGGATTTAAATATGGAATCTGGTAAAAACCAAAGACTGACAAGATGGATGAAAAAAGATGGAGGCATGAGCAAGTGGATCGCTGGACAGATGGACGTCACTATGATTGGTTGTAGAAAAACATCTGGAATTATTTAGAGTAAACTGATGACCCTGCATTGATCAAGTGTGAGAGTTTGGATCAGAGAAAACAAGGTTCTAAGCCATAACTAGCAATAACCAAGCCCATTGCAACAGAACCTGCAGCAGACCTGGTTCTATAAACACTTTACCCTGAAACCCTCATCTGACTGACAAAAAAGAACAAGAACACTTTATTTCAAATGTGCAGATAAAGCAGCACCTCTGCACGCTGCATTCCTTTGCACCAGTTTCTGAATCAACTACACCAAGTTTCATGCAAAGTTAAAGATGACCCGCTCGCCCTCAACAGCAACAAGGTGATGATTAAAGATTCAGGTCAAAAGAAGAAGACAAACTTCTGCTCCTTTTTGATATCTTTATATAGGGAGATATATTGCTCCTTTAGACAGTCAGTCTGAGATCACAGCCCACACTTACTGCTGCTGAGCTTATGTAACGCACACGCACATCCATGCACGGGACAGAGAAGTGATGCTGAAGGAAAAAGGAAGGGGAAATAAAAAGCAGGGGGGATTCATTGAAATGAAACAAAGCAGAAGAGAACAGTTGTTTTTCTGTGAAGAGATGATGAAATTATTCATTTTGGGTGAGAGAGCAAGACAGGACTGGAGCTTACAGGAGGGGGAGGCACCTAAAAGAAAAAAAATATTTAAGAATGGAAGAAAGGAGTCGGAAACATTGATGAAGGAAAAAAAAAGGTTAAAAATATGGAAGAGAGCAGAAGGATTGGAAAAGAGGATAGAGAGAAAGGAAAGATTAAATAGTTCGGAAAGGAAAACAGAACAGAAAGGAGTGAAAAATAAAAACGATGAAGGAGACAACTGGGACAAAAAAAATGATATGAAGAAAGAAGATGATTAAAATTCTCAGAGAAGAAGGATAATAGGCAGAAACCAAAAACATTAAGAGAGGGTAGTTTTAAAGTTAGAGCGACAGCAGGTGAGCGGCACACACACTCCCACTCCCACACACACACACACTGCCGTGGGAAAACCACGGCCAACATGCAGCCCAGAAACGCAGAGCTGCAGAGACTCACCCAGAAGATCAGCGACCAGCTCTCCATGATGATAAAATGAAAAAAAAAAAGACGAGATGGACAGAAGAACCGAGAGGAGCAGAGGAAGAGGTGATGGAGGATGGAGAAAAGAAGAGGAAGAGGAGAAGGAGGAGTATCTGGAGACGCACAGGGAGAGAGGAGAAGAAGTGGGAGAGGCAGGACGAGAGGAGGGCTGCTAGGTTCAGCCCACACACTGCCAGCATGACACACACTCTCTGTGGCTGTGTGTGAGCGCGCGCACGCCGTCTCCCACTCCAATGCGTGGGTTAGAAAACACACCTCTCTCTTTCTCTCCCTCTTTTCCTGCCTCGCTCTTGTTTTTTTTATTTTTTTTTTTGCTGTGAGCTGAGGGGTAAGTGGCGTGGGAGTGGAGGAGCGGCCCCGTCGCCATGGCAACGGTGCGACCGGGATTCAGGTTTCAGCCAGCATCAGCACCACCGGCGGCATCCGGCGAGAGCCCCCCGATTCAAAGAGGCGTTCGAGGAGTTTATTCATCCGACCAAACGAATCGCTTTCGGATTCAAAAGACTTTCTTCCACCAATCGGAGCGCGCGCGGCCAGAGTCACGTGACTCCAGGGTGTCTTCCAGATGTGAGCCCCAACCCCAGCCCTGTTTGCGCTGCAGTGATGACACGCCGTACTGTACGCCTCCATTCATGTCGCTGCCTGCAGCTGCTGGTGTTCAGACTGAAGGAGCAAATCTGCTGCTTTTCAGCATCAGAAACACACAAAATTAAACCTAATTACCTAAAACATCATCAATAAGTTCATTAGTTCAGTTATTCGTTTATCACACAAACGGCAAATATTTCATCCAGTTTACAGCTTTAAAGATTATGACTTTACCCGAATAGAAACCCAACATCTCACCAATGTGAATATTCCTCAGAACGTTTTAAAAGAGAAATACTTTCTTAAAGCAGTTTATGACTAACATTATCACAGAGAAGATTGCTAAACAGAGAGGAATGGGTTCAAGAATATTAGAGAAAAGTTAAGTGGAAGGAAAAAAGCTGTGCATGTGAAATGGGTCATGCAGCCTTTAGAGCAGGTATCCCCAAAGTCGGTCCTCGAGGCCCCCTGTCCTGCAGGTTTTAGAGGTTTCTCTGCTCCAGCACAGCTGATTTACATTGATAGCTGATAAACAGGGTTTGCTGAAGTGCAATCATCAGAATCAGCTGTGCTGAAGCAGAGAAACCTCTAAAACCTGCAGGACAGCGGCCCTCGAGGACCGACTTTGGGGATGCCTGATTTAGAGGACTATGCAGAACAGACGTATTCAGGAAATGAGCCACTAGTGTTGGACTTTCTGTATTTAACAAAGACGTCAGCAGCGTCTTTAGAGCTGAAGAGAAAAAGGACCAGACTACAGGAGCATATTGCATAAACCAAAGAAAAAAAATCAGACAGCTTATCTCATAGTTAAGAGATAAAATCTCGTTATTCTGAGAAAATATCTAAAAGAAACAAGATCCTATCTATATATATGCGTATAAATACTTAAGCCAGTAATGAAGCATCTCTCAGAAAACTGGTCTTCATGATTACTTCTTGAAAATATCTGCATCTGTTCCACTGAACCATTCTCTGTACCCAGATCTGACCTGATACGCATTGGAGCTCCGCTCCTGTTTTTCAGTTGATCAACAAAGTACGCAGTTATAACCCGGGGATTACTACGTGTGGAGTAAGCATGCAGCATTATGACCATCGCTAAAATCCATCAGCAGCTTCATTAATGCAGATTTGGAATGGTTTTAGTTGTTAGTTATGGTTTATATGAATCAACATGCTGCATGAAGTTTGGACCTTTTAAACGACTCTGAAGCCTCAGCTGTGCTCCTTGAGGATCTAGGATTTCTGAGAAGGTACCGGAGAACAGTTATTTGGGACACCACCAAGCCAGGTTAATTTATAACCATAAAGCCTCCCATGCTGGTTTAATTGCTCCTGCAGGAACAGAGCGATTTCCAGCAAGTCAGAGCAGAGTGGGCTTTTTGCCTGAAAAATTCTAAGGACTTACTGCGCAATGCCGACAAACTAAAACTAAATCCATCCACATTGAGGAAACTCAGTATTTCCCAGTGTTGCAAACCTAAAAGCATATTAAATCCAAGAACCCACTCATTGTTGACGTTTCATGTAGCGTAGCTCGGCAATGAAAGTCCTTCCTGATCTCCTAAATATAACATATTATCTTATAATTATGAGATCTTATTTCATAATTATAAGATACCGATCTCCTAATTATGAGATAGGCTGTCAGATATATTTTTTCTTTGATGAAAGCAATACGCTTTGTACCAGACTGCTGCTCAGGGTCTAAATTATTCTTCACAGATCAAAGTAAACATTTTATTTTAAAATGGATTCCCTGCTGCAGTTCCTGGGTGAATGTTACCCTGCTACCCGCCTCAGAGCGGCTGAGGTTTAGGTCACATTTCCTTCTGGACACAATTCATGGCTCCATCAAACGGAGGTCCTGAAGCATCAGCAGGCCCAGACCATACTACTACCACCACCATGTTCAGTATGTCCATTATGATCTCTGACACAACCTTCAATAATGCGCTGGGGTTTTTTTTTTTTCTATTAGTGAGGCAAATATTTTACTAAAATCTTTCAAATCATGCTTTTTCATTTTTTAAATGTTTAAAAGTTTGTTTGTGTTCTTTGGCCAGCGGTCATTTTTAGCTTATCGGTAGATGTTTTGGTTCTTTATTGACCTCCTGGACAAATCATTGATGATCCACTCCTGAAAAGATTCTCCACATCCTCCATGTTTTCCCCATTTCTGGAAAAACAAATAGACAAACTGACAAGAGTCTTAATATTTTCGTCCTTCTCAGGGTTCCCACACTTTTAACATATGCTGTTGCTGAGTATATCAATACGTTTAATAAAAAAAAATATCAATGGTATATAGAAGATTCAGAATCCAAGATTAAATGCAGAGCAGTCATAGCCTCATATTAATAGTTTTCACAGGAAAACAAAACACTGATATGTCTTTTGATGGAAAGATGAGGCTTTAAAGTCTTGAAGCTCACAGGCACATTTGCAAAAAATGTTCTTTCTAAAGGCCTCATTTAGGCTTCATGTGCTCACTGTGGCCATCTAGTGGTGAATAACACAGTAATTGGAGTTATGTAAACTGATCAGAACATTGGATTTAGTAAAAGCATAGATGTAATAGTCTGCAGTGTAATGTAACCAGGTCCCATTTTAATAAATTCCTTATTGTAGAAAATCTGATAGAAAAGTACAACTGAGTAGAAAATCCTCTTCTTAACATCATTGTTAATTTCGTGCTCCAGTTGAAGCTCAAAGCAAAGTAATTTCATTTAAATACTCACTGAGAAAAACCTAAATGTTTGGTTTTTATTGTCTATCTATCCTCAGAAACCCTTGAGTTCTGAAATGAGCATTTTTCAGGCCTTTACTCATTGACCAGATGACTCTGGCTCCACGTTGAGTTTTAGCCCCTCCCCCTCCTTCCTCCGAGAAGACATGTGTTGCTACGCACGTTATTGAAGCTGACTACCTACAGGACACAAGAAAAGGCAGCATCGAATGAACCCAAGGTAATGACACGCTAACAGCAGCATCCAAGTGGCAGGGCATCCTGGCGTTCCAGCATCAGAGAGTCTGGCATTTAAAGTTGTAGGGAATTGTATCGATATTGTCCCAAAAGTTAGAAAATTTCTGTGTAAAAAAAAAAATCCTGTCTTAAAATCAGTTGTTTTTTTTCCGTTATCTTATGCAGGCCAGTTAGTTATACGTCAGCTTGAACACCTAAATTCGGCCAATCATATATCAACGATCATCTGTCAATCAATTTTTTTTGGTCATGGGATCTTGATTCATACGTTGCAGCTAATATACACAACGGTTGAAATAAGAATCATTTCCTTTCCCATTGAGTTCTGTCCCAGTGTTCTCGGGGATGGACGTCTGTGTCTTCAGCAGGCGTAGAGCTAACAGAACTGGCAGCGTTGCGAGGCTAGGGCTCAAACATGTACGGCTGGAAGCCTTCTACACCAAGCCAAGCTTCTGCCGCCCTGGTGTCCTCTTCCACAACATCTTCATTCCCGCTTTCCTCCTCTAAATAAAACATTGATGACGGAGGAGACTCATCCACGACCTCCGACACTAAACTCTCCTCCTCTTGCATGTTTCCTCTGTCCATAGCGTTCCTTGACAGTGTCGTTTCTAAGTCACCAATTTAGTTCTACTTGGTCCCAATGGAATTTCCCATTGGGAACCTACTAGCACTAAGTTGCTAACTGGTTAGAAAGATGCTTCCAAGAAACCGGCCACAATCAAACTTGCTTGCAAATCTTCCGCCACAAAAATCCCGCCCTCTTGATAAACAACCAATCACATTCACTTTATTCACTCGTGTAAAGTCGTGCACTCGGGAGAATTCAGAAATGCAATGACTGGAACGGCCGTTTCCCTACGACTTTAAGGCAAATGTTGATAGAGATTATTCTGACATGAGGGTTCTCAAACTTTTAAACTAGTGACACGAAAAAAAAATGGTACCACAGTTGACTCATTACCCGAACTATTCCTTAAGTATAAAAACATATCTATGTAACCAATTAACCAAGAATGTAATCTTATGTCAAACTTGGTTAGTTTTGACAATTTTAAGAATTTTTTTATGTCTTTAAGCATTTTGATATGAATGTTTATTGTTTAATTTCATTTTTGAAGTGAATCTAAAGACTCCACAATTGCTGATCAAGTGGGGTAGCGACCCCAACTTTAGGACTCAATGTTCTAAATCAATCAACCCAAACTTGACCCTCGAGGGCCACTGTCCTAAAGGTTTTTTGCATTTCCATTGATAGCTGATTAACACACTGCAAAAAAAACAACATATTTTCTTAAAAATGGGGGTATTTTTTCTTGAATTGAGGAGGCAAGTGAGACCCTTTGCCAAAAATAAGAAGGCTTACATTTAAAATAAGAAAAAACGATAGAATTTTCTTATTTGAAGTGCATATTATCTATTTATCTTATTTTAAGAGTAAAAATACTCATTCCATTGGCAAAACATCTTATTTACTTACTTAAATTAAGTGTAAATACACTTAATCTAAGACATTTCTAGATCAATATTGCAGTGCAGGGCTTTGCTGAACTGCGATCATTAGAATCAGCTGCGCTGAAGTAGATAAACCTCTAAACCCTGCAGGACGGCGGCCCTCAAGGGCCGACTTTGGGGAGATCTGTTCCAA